GTCTGCTCCCTCTTATCTCAAGTTTAACAAGTTATTTTGGACGTTTGGAGGAAATACTTTTACGTTACCTGCATACTGATTCTTCAGGGAAGAATGTAATATCTACATCGGATCCTTATGGGAGTAATCTGCCATGTTATCAATGTTCCTATAAGTCTGGTTTTGGCGAGACATCTATAGCTCCATGCTCTAAGTGTGCTGTACGTTCTACACGTAGTATGTTCTATCCTGTGCATGCTAGGAATGTTCAAGTGTGCTGTGCGTAGTGTGTATGGAATGTTCTGACCTTTACACATAGTGTGATTTATTACCGCCCTGCTCCGAACTGACCATTAATTTCTTCCGACCTCAAAATGCCAACCACCAAGTCTCAGTTAGCAGACATTGCTCGGCAGGTTATCGCTGAGTTGGAAAGCAGCAGTCTTTTAAAGAAGTTGGTGAAAGATGCAGTCCAGGAGGCTGTATCTGGCATCGCTGCTCGGTTAGAGGAGCAAGAAGGGCGGGTAATGGATTTGGAGGGGAAGGTGAAAGCGCAGGAAGATGAAATCAAGCGCCTTAAGAAGGAAGGAGAAAGCTGTACAGTTTTTTGTTCGGCTTTAGAAATAAAGCTGGATGCGTTAGAGCAGCAGGGAAGGTGTAACAACATCCGAATCCTCGGAGTAAAGGAGTCTGCAGAGGAGATTCCGGAGGTGGTCGTGATGGAGGTTGGAGAGAAGCTTGGAGTCAAACTAACCCCAGCTGACTTCGATCGCTGTCATCGCCTCGGCACGTCTTCACCTGATGCCAATCAGAGGAAAAAACATCGCCCTCTTCTGGTAAAGTTTTCAAGCCGGCGCATCAGGGGTCTGGTAATGGGAGCCAGATCCAAGCTGAAAGGCACTGACATCTTCCTGAACGATGACCTCACACCCGCCAGACAGAAGCTTTTGTACAATGTCCGCCACTGCCCGAAAGTAGAGCGATCCTTTAGCCAAGAAGGAAGGATCTTTGCGGGCATTAAGAACACAAGCGGCGGCTTTACCAAAAAACTTATAACTTGTGATGCAGACATTGCTAAGCTCTGAAACTAACAGAACAGTACACCAGCATCTCATTATCATACTTTCAGTATTTTTCCTTGCCTTTCCTTTCCTTTTCCTTTTCTTATTTTTCTATGGCAGCCTTTACATGCCCATTTTATTGCCTTATGTTATTTTTATACATTTTCTCGTTTTCATGTATTTTCTTATTTAACTTCTTTTTCTGGTCTCTTTTTTTTTCTTCTCACTCTCTTGCAATTATTATGGATGCTTCCTATATTGTTGCTTTAAATGTGTTTTTGTTACCTTTTAGTCTCTGTAGTATATTAATCTCCCATATATGTGTTAATATGTTTTCTGACAATCTTCTTGACTTGTATTCCCAACACTTAGACTTCATATTTTATTTTGTGATTCCAATCCAAGATGGTTAATATAGAAGAAGTTGCTTGTAATATTTTAGAAAATAATGCAAGCACGCTAGAGCCCAATGTTAATGATAATTTTGATCATGCCTCTCCAATTGTTTGTCATTACTGTTCAGAAAATCAATTTATGGATGGGTTTCGTAATAAATGTGAAAATGATGTTACTGTCCTACATTTAAATGTTAGAAGTATGCATAAAAATGTTGATGCTTTTAATACTCTTATCAGAAACCTCAATGATAGCTCTACAATAATTGGGGTCTCGGAAACTTGGTTTTCGAGTGAGAGTGATGTTAATTTATATTCTATTTCTGGATGTAGTTTGGTGTCTAATCACAGACGTGATAAAAGAGGCGGTGGTGTTGCTTTATACATTCCAGTTGGTATGGATTTCCAAGTAAGGCATGACTTAAATGTGATGACTGATCAGTTGGAGTCTACTTTTGTAGAGTGTTTTATTCCAGGCAAAAAGAATGTTATCTTTGGAGTTATATACAGACCTCCCCAGAGTAATATAGATCTTACTGTGAATGAATTGCAGAGTATATTGCTGAACCCACTATTTGTCAATAAGTCAATATTCTTAATGGGAGATTTTAATATAAACCTTCAATGTGATGAAAATGACCATTATAATGCTTTTTTGAATATGATGTTGTCATTTTCTTTAATGCCATTAATTACAAAACCCACAAGGGTAACTGATAGTTCATCTACCCTTATTGATAACATATTTTGTAATTTGCAACCTTTTCCACCTTCAGGTATTATAATATCAGATCTTTCAGATCATTTCCCTATCTTCACTAGAGTGAATTTTCGTAATACTGCTCATAAACATGAATGTAAATATATTCGTAAAAACAATCCTACTAACATTGAGAAGTTTCGAGAAGCACTAACGGCAACTGACTGGAGTGCAGTTTTACTTGAAAAGGATGTTAATATTTCATTCAACAATTTCTTTAATAAGTTTTTGCTACTCTATGATAAAATTGTTCCGATTTCCAAATGTAACACTAGAAATCGTAAGAAAATTCCACGCATGCCATGGGTCAGTGCTTCCTTGTTGAAGTCTATCAATAAGAAGAATAAGTTGTATTATTCTTATAAAGTTAGTGGAAGAGAATCATCACGTAAACGATGTTGATTATAAAAACACCCTTACTTCAGTCTTGCGTGCAGCAAAGAAAACATATTATTTTGCTCAGTTTCAAGCAACTTCAAACGATATCAAAGGAACTTGGAAAGTGATAAGAAATGTGTTCAAGTCAAAGAAAAAAAATTCTGATGTAAAGAATATTGAAATTGATGGTCGTTTAGTGGAAGATAAGAATATTATTGTGGAAAAATTCAATGATTATTTTTGCAGTATTGGTCCTAATCTGTCACGGGCGGTCCCTTCCTGTCAAAAATCTTTTAACGATTTCCTGAAAGAATCTAACAAGAAAAGCTTATTCCTTTTCCCATTAGTTAGGGAAGAGTTGCTTACTATTGTGAATTCGCTTAAGGCTGGGAAAAGTCCTGGTTACGATGGTGTCAATAATGACATAATTAAACAGGTTATCTTAGCGATTATTCAACCCCTTATTCATGTTTTTAATTCATCAATGTTAAATGGAATAGTCCCCGAAAACATGAAAATTGCAAAAGTCGTACCCGTTTTTAAAAAGGGGGATCCTCAATCTTTTTCAAATTACCGTCCTATTTCACTTCTAACCTCCTTCTCAAAGATCCTTGAGAAAGTGATTTATGTTAGAACTTTAGAATTTTTCAACAAAAGTAAAATATTCTCAAATTTTCAGTTTGGGTTCCGAGAGAAACATACTACCTCTCATGCCTTGCTGCACTTTATAGATAAGATTTCACAAGCAATAGACAAAAAGATGCACACAATCGGTATATTCCTTGATTATTCCAAGGCATTTGATACTATAGATCATGAAATTTTGCTAGGGAAATTATCGCATTATGGTGTCAGGGGCACAGCTCTGGACTGGTTTAAGAGCTACTTAGCTGACAGGAAACAATTTGTTTCTTTAAACGGTTTTGATTCAGGGTTACAGAATGTCACATGCGGCGTTCCTCAGGGATCTCTCCTTGGTCCGCTCTTGTTTATTGTATATATTAATGACTTTCATTTCTCATCTGATATTTTGTCATTCATTTTATTTGCTGATGATTCCAGCTTGTACTATTCACACAAAAATTCACAAACTCTGTTAGAAACGGTTAATTTCGAACTAAGTAAAGTTACTTTGTGGATTCAAGCAAATAAATTGTCTTTAAATCTGCAAAAGTCAAATTATATGTTTTTTAGTAATACAATCAAAGTGCTTCCAGGAGATGTATCATTTAATAATGTATTGATAGATAGGGTATCATCAACAAAATTCCTTGGTTTGCACATTGATGAGCAAATGAGTTGGAAAATTCATGTAAATCATCTCTATAAGACATTGTCAAGAAACAGTGGCGTAATTCATAAATTGAAATCAATTTTACCTAAAGGCATCCTTTTATTAATGTACTCAACATTAATCCTCCCCTATCTTAATTATGGTGTTCTTGCTTGGGGTAACTCTCTTAAAACTAACCTTGAAAAGTTATATTTGATTCAAAAGAGGGTCTTAAGAATTATTTGTAACGTTAGCTTTCGTACGCACACTAATCCGCTTTTTTATACGCATAGAATTTTAAAGGTGCAAGATATTTATCACCTTCAACTGGGTTCTTTAATGTACAACTTCGATTCTGGTGTCCTTCCACAGGCTCTAGTCAGCATTTTTAAGAAAAATAGTCAAGTTCATGACCATGCTACACGAAATGCCTCTGCGTTTCACTTACCCCAAGTAAGGACAAAGTTAACTTTTAATACTTTGGTTTTTACTGGACCTAAATTTTGGAACTCTCTAGGCTCTAGCGTTAAGCAATCTGTTAGTCTCTCTTCATTTAAGTGTAAACTTAAGGTTTATCTTCTCGATAAATACTGTGACTCATAGAGTAGTTCATTTTTGTAGTTATTATGGTGCCAAGATATATTATGTATTACTATAAATGTAAATTTTCTTCTTGATATTAATATGTGTCTAACTGAATATTTTCAGATTGTCAACCTCTTATTCCCTCCCCCTGTTGTCTTGTGCCCGTTGTGTGCTGTGCCTATTGTCGATGTGCTGTATTCTTCTATTATTTCTCATATTTTCTCTTTTCTCCCGTCTTGTCTAGTCTAGTCTCTCTTTTTGTTGTTGTTGTGTGTGTGTACACTTCTTGTTTTGTTATACCCCCTTTTCCCTATTGTATTCTTAGGTAGTCACAAATATCTATTCATCATGTTTTATCCGGCTCAGAGGGGACCCTAATAATTACAAGCTCTGCTTTTACCAGGGTCTCCTCGTCTTTCTTTTAGTTAGCTATGTTTTTTATCATTATCATAATTTGTTATTTTGCTTTGTAAATGTGTTATGATCCAATGTTATGCTCTGTATGTCATTTGAAAGAAAGACGAATAAAATCTTATCTTATCTTATCTTATAAACCATAGGTTTACATTATGGTCAAACTCACTCTGCAAGGAGATTATAACTCCCTTGATTTGTGCGATACAATCCTGAACGGTACTTGCTCTCACACAAACGCACGCAGATGCTGGTACCATGGAGCTATAAAAGAGACCATGGACCGAAGCCATGCGAATACAGTCGTCTTCCCGGTGTGGAGCGGGGTGTAACAGTTTCAATATCGATTATACCATGAACCATTTACAACAGTAGATGGCGCTAGTATACAACAACATGATCCGGTTTAAATACAGGCAGCTTGGAACTAATAATTGATTTATTAATTACTGTTTAATTCACACAAAAAAAAAAAAAAGTATTTCAGCGGTGGAGATTGGTTAAAGATATTCCTATAGCATCTTGTTATAACATCAAAGAGTTTCAGATGAATTAAATATTTTTACCAACACTTTGTAATACCTTTAATGTAGGCTTGAACTTACCAAACTGTACCATAGCAACAAACCTCCTGATTTAGGGCGTCTTGTGCACATGAAATCGAGAGTTATAAGAACCTTTAATGCATTAATAGCAAATGCATATTTCTGGGTAATGTTAATTTCAGTGTAAGTAGGAATATGACTTATAAATGCAAACAGATTGCAATCCCTCTAAAGAATTCATATAGAATTTAAAATCGTTCATTATTATCCTGTCGATATACACTTTAATGTGTTCTTTTTTCTGAATAGACAAGAATTGAATTTGAAAATAAAAACTTTTTCATCATTTGTTTAGAATGTTATCTTGAATGCAAGTATGTAATTAATGTAATTTGTGTAAAATATAAGAATAGAGTGAGACATTAGTAAATAAGATATATCTATTCAAGACTTCCTTGTTAACTATATTCACCATGAATGCAGGTCCAGAATCTCCAGCTTGAACACATCGAGTGTCCCACACCCGCCTCATCACATCACCTAGCAGAAGCACTGTGTTCTATGCCAAACCTGACTGACCTGGCAATCAGTGGACAGAATCTCACTGAGGATTTTTACTCTACATTGAAAGCAAAGGCATCATCCATACAGGTATGTGTGTATTAATGGCATAGACAGGGTCATTGAAAGAAAAGAAAACATCAGCGATGATTATTTGGACCACATGTACATGCTTTTTTTTTTGTCCAAACACCCTTCGTTAAAGGCCATTCATTTGGAATATTGGAATAGTCATGAAATATGAAATTCAAGCAAACTATACATGTACTGATTCGTTTGAAATTCAAGTGTGTATAAGATTCACTACTCAAAATTGTTTTAAACAGATACATAACTTGGACAAAGCATTCAATAGTTGTCCAAGAAATCCCACAGAAAAAATGATATTTGAGGAATTACTAGGTCTATGTTGATCAGAATGGGCTTGCTATGAGGTTCTTACACATGTACTGTTCATGTTGATAACTACGCTTAACTCAACTCTACTGCCCTCAGCGGTAAAAAGCAGTATGATTACAAAGTAAATTTCAACTTTTCAAAAAGCATGCAGTGTTTAAAGTAAGAAAAGAAAAATTGTTTAAACAAATATTTGAGCGGTATGTTGTGTAGAAGAATTTTTAGAAAGCCATTTTCTTATTCCAACATTGTTTTTTAGCATGATTCTTTCATCCTGCATGAATCAAAATGGTGTGTCCCATATTCTATTTCTACTTTTACCACATATTTTGACACTTAAAAGCAAGATATTGGTACTAAACATTGTCAAACATGGATATAATGAATATAATGTCAAATCTGATAATATACCAATCTGTGGCGAGATGCTCATGTGTTGATTGTTTTCATTGTTAAGAAACGTTACTTATGAGGTGCTTATTGTTTTCATCATCATACAATTTGGGGAAACAGGAACCTTTTTTTTTGCCATCATGGTTCCTTTTTTGGAGGGTTGCACAAGGTTGGCAACTCTGCCTTTAGGTGTAGTTATGGGTCAAGAGCTGAAGTTGGGAATTCAATAAATGTTATGAGATAATTAGGGTTTAATTTTAAAAGTAATGCTCTCCTGTTCTTTGATCCCCTAATACTATGAAAAAAACAAACTATTAAAACAAATTCTAACAGGTATTTTTTAAAAACTTGATGTCGATACCATATATCAACTACTACTGCTATAGGTAGTGGATACTACTACAGTACTACTACAGTAAAACTACCATTAGTATTAGTATTACAGTTTTTATGCAATTGCAATATGTATTGGATCAATTTCTTTTTTAATTTTTCGTAAATCTACTGCGCAAAATTTGTCTTACTCTTCCTTTTTTTCTAATTCTCCATACTTCTTTTTTTCTTTCTTATTTTCATTTTGTCTAAGTGATGTAACTTTAGATCTTGAGTGTATATATTCCCAAAGAAAATAGATTATTTGCAAGAATGAAATATATCCACTTACTTGTTACTGATACAGAGTTAACAAGCAGTGTTGCTGTTCTATGTTACAGGATAGTTTTCCTCAGATCAGGAAGGGAAACTTCAGGTTTAAAGAAGTTGATCACGATGACTTGGACTCATTTTTTCACGCCCTCACATGTTTGCAAAGGTCAGTACAGTAAATGTAATTTTTTTAAATCGATAACAGCATGTATACTTTCATGTGCCTTTATAGAGCCTCTAATGGTATACTAAGAAAATATATAATGATGATATATACCACAGCAGGAAGCATGCGATAAAGTGATACTGTGTACCTTAAACAATTACAAATTTCTGGTCTGACAAAATTAAATATTCAGTTACAGCTTTATTGAAGAACAAATCCTACTGTAATGTGCTATCAACCTTAAATTTGTAGATTTGTTGGCATTCCTGGTTTTTCTTTGTGTGTGTTCTTGATATTTTTGTTACAGTCTCTTCCTTTTTTCTTCTTCTTCATTCACCGATCAAAATGTTTATTGAGACAGGTAATTTCAATAATACCAATAGTAGTTGATTTTTTATCTCTCATCTTTCAAACAGATAGTAAGAAAAAATGTGTTTCCTTTACAGCTTAAATGACTCAGATGGCTTGGACAGCTCAAGTGACTCAGATGATTTGGGCAACTCAATGGACTCAGACAACTTGGTTGACTTGGGCAACCCAAACGTTACTCAGTTTCCCAGCATTCCTTACATTCCTTATCAGCCTACATTTACGTCACCTGACCAACCATTAGAAAGCAGTTACCATGGCAACACATACAACACAATAAATTTCTCTTTGGAGCAATCAAGAGCAATGTACCAAGAAACCATGGCAAGCACTAGTCGTGTGAACCCGGTACATGCCAACATCCGTCTTACCCCAGACACCCTACCACTCTTGCAAGAGTCTCAGGACAATGTAATTGTGAGGCAACCATTACAACAGCCACGTACATTGAGGACTCAGTCTGGTATTTGGCCAGTCTATTTGGAGAATAATGCACTACCGTGGAATTCTGGACCTAGTCAGCCCTAATTTATGCCTTCCAATCTCCAATCAGGCATGTCTGTTGAGTACCACACCCCTGCTTCAAATCGGCCATTCAGTGGTTATAATTGCAGTCCTGAGTATAGAGAGGCTTACTTCAATCCTACCTACCATGCCGTTATGTCAAGTTCTGCTCCATCTCCTAACCCTCCAGTCTCAAGAAATGATCAACCTACCATGTCCGCAGGGTATCTTTCACCAACACTGGGTCTTGAGAGCGCAGGTGCTACACGTACCATGCCTTGGTCAAGTCAGGATCACTACACTCAATCCTACAATGCCTCTACACCCAGCTCTGCTCCGTTGTGTAACCCTCCAGTCTCTGGATATCATCAGCCTACCATGTCGAGACGGTACATTTCAGATACACCATATCAACCAATGACTGTAGAGCAGGCAGGATCTAGCAGACCACAGCCTAGTCAGGATCACTCCACTACAGGATTCCATTCAGCTACCCAGGATTGTCCAATTGTACAGAAAAGAACCAGTTCTTCACGTAGGCCAGATTCTTCCAGTCAGATATCACATTTAACCAACTTTTCATCTCTGATCCAAAGTACAAGCAGTACCGGTAGTGGTGAAGACTTTCATGTTGGCAATACATCAAACACTATATTTCAATTGTCCCAGACAGACAGAAAAGGTAGCAGCAGTCTGAGCAGGCCATACAAGAGGCAAGCTCCTTGTACTCGTGCAAGAGTTCCACAGGAAGGTCCTGAAATTCCAGAGAAGCAATCAAAGTATGAAATCTAGTTTTTATGGTATCGTAGATTAAGACATTATTCCTCTTTTAACACTTCATCTAGAATGTGTGTACGTATTATACAGGGCTCCACACTAACTATTTAGGGGGAAAAGAGGTCCAGATTTAACTTTTACAGTCTGTATGCGTGAGCCCTAAGTAAAAACTTCCAAATTCGGAGGGTCCAGACCTAGATTTTTTGGCTGTCAATGTGTCCCGGCTAGTTTGCTGGTTTTTGGTCCTGGACTCATAGCTATAAATTTGGGGTAAAAGGGGGTCATTTTCGGCAATGTTTGCAAACGTTTGAATATTTGTAAAAAGGAAGTTTTCATCTTTTTCACCTAAATGATGAGTACAGTCCACTATTTGGTGTTAGTATATACATTTTTTCACGAGAAAGGGATGGATCATAATAATGTCACAATGCTCGAAAGCATGTAAATGGCCTATGTAGAAGATGATGCAAAAAATAAGATACGTTTTGTGAATGTGGACTCATATGTGTATGTAGTGATGTACCAAGTATAAGTGTATTGTTGGCTTTTACCATTTTGTTTTAGGAGATTTGCATGCAAGGTATGAAATATCACTCAACTTTCACAAAGTGAGCTATTGTAATGTATTTAATTATCTTATCAAAATGTCACTATATTTGTCAATCTCATTGCACATGTTCAGTACAAATATGATTTGAAAATTTGTTACCAGAAATGACCCGGATGTTTAAAGCCATATTGCTCTAGGTATCATGGCAGCGAACTTCAAATAATTCAATATGTTAGTTAAGAACTAACTTTGTCTTTGTTATTGCTTGTACATGTGTATTAAACTACATTCACCAGTTCTATATAATAAATCCATTTCGAGAAATATTTTCTAGCATGTTCTTTACATTACTCCAGTGTATATGTAAATATGCTGCTATCATTTTAAGATACATGTCTCTTTTGTCAATGTAACATGCCTGAGGTTTTACCGTAATGTAATATTTCATTTGAAATGGATTATTGTTTCTACATAATTAACTACATTCATCAGTACTATGTTATAAATTCAGTTGAGGAACTGTTTTCCAGGATTTTCTTTACATCATTCTAGCGTACATGTAAATATGTTGCTATAATTGTACGATGCATGTTTATTCTTTTTGTATTCAGTACTGGATTTCAATAATGTTGATGATATATATACTCCAGGCCTTTCTTTGCATCATTTTGATCATGATTATGCAATGGTATGATACATGTATATTTTGAACTTGTATATGTTTGCCATACTTGCCTTTTATATACGTTTTATATTGTAGTGAGTTTGCATTCCTTATTGGCTTATAAGATGCAACGTAGACAGTACTCTTATGAGCATTCCGTTACCTTGCTTTTTGATCACCATCCTCTTCTGATTAAGTGATGTCATTCCACTCTGATTTTCATAAAAGACAAATGTAAATTGCTCAGATCTGTGAATTTATTCTGAATTATGTCATTCAAAAGATCGATGTACTAAACAGGTCTTTCTATGTTTATTGGATGATCATGAATTACTGAAGTTTGCAGTGCCTTTAGATATTTCAACACTTTGATTTACAAAGGAGTTGTTGTTTGATGATGGTGTATTTGTTAGTGAGTATCCTTTTAGCTGAAATGGTGTCATGCATTTGACACTATTTTGCATGATATAACGCGTGCAAAAGCGATTTAGACTCTTCTCTACACGTACCCATTGTTTGCATTGTCTCAGCTGCGCGCATCGGATGCAAAGACTGCCTATAAGTAATCGAGAGGGCATAACTCCGAAGATTCGCAAATACTCACAATTTCATGTAACAAATATTGCATGCATTTTATCATTCATTAGAACATGTATTCACCTCCAAATTCAAAATTCCCCTAGTGCCGTTTTATTTCATTCTCAGCCTATTGCCTCAGTGAAACATACTATCACGCAGGAAATTATGATATTTTGTTTGGTTCATATATACATACTTGTATACATATATATATATATATTGGTAAACTATGCTAATGCGATTACTTAATGAAGATGTAATAAAAAAATTAAAAAAAAGAAAAGATGTAATCATATGATAATTAGATATACATCTTTGTTTATTTTTGTCTATAAATTTTAGCACACGTTTTCCTACAATCTCAGAAAAATGTATGATTATAAGACTTCAAGTACTTTCATGAAAATGTTAAAAGGTTGATAGTAAATATTATACATGTTAATGATATAACTATTTTTGATAGATGTGGGTTAGCAATATATATCTGCTGCACCAATGTTTATACTTCATTATTGATGTGTATTATCTTGAAAGCATTGTTCTGTAATTCCCTCATACAAAGTGTTTTACCCTACAACCTAATCTGCTACTATGCAAACGCTATTAATGCTACTAGGAATCTGTTAGAACGTCAAAGAAAGGTAGCAAAGCGCATCATAGCAGTCGATTTACCATCAATCGAAGATCTGGACCAGAATAATGTCCTTTCTAATGTGAAACAGATTAATGCAGGACCCCTCGCATTCACTGAGTGAAAACTTCAACTTTAACAGATCAGGAATACACATGTGTGCACCATGAACTCAACATGCATGTTTCTGAAGATCCTTTGTCCCTGACTCTATCCATCTGTTAAACCCCAAAGCAAGACGACTTCACCATCACGAAGTTACCTTGTAAATGTACAACAGTGTACAGATTTGTCATCTGTTAACCTTTCTCCTATCTCCCTCTCTCTCTCTTTCTTTCTCCTATCTCTCTCTTTCTTTCTCCTATCTCTCTCTCTGCCTCTCTCTCCCTTTCTCCTCTTTCTCTCGCTCTCTCTCTCCCTCAGTTTCTCTCTCTCTCTCTTTCTTTTTTATATCTCTCTTTATCTTCTATATATCCCTCTCTCTCTCTCTTCTCTCCCCTGTATCTTTGCTAAAATTCCTACCTGTGCACTTATATTGCCAATACATAGATTTCATACATGTATCTAAAGTATCAATAATCAATTAAGCCACAAATTGTACTGGATTGTCTAAACACAATATGATCTAGCCCCAGTATACCAATGGCACTGAATGTAATATTTTGATAAATGATATTGGATAAGTAATAGCATGCAGTAAGTATGTAGATTAGTAACTCCGATCAATAATACAAATAATAATGATTATAATAATGATAAGTTCATTTTGTTGATAACCTTTCTGATGGAATTGATAGTAAGGATGATGATATAACTCAAGTACTTTGTATATTATGTATGTATTTTGTTTCATCATGTGTATGTTTATATTGTATTACTTGTACCAACCAGTGGAAATCAAATTTCCTGATATGTACATTAAATCATGTACGTATACTTTATACTAATATGCCATAAGAAGTCATGATTCTAAGGTGAATACAAAAGGAAGATTTAAATATACCTTCTGTATCTCTTCGTCCGATGTGAAATCTAGGAGAGACATGGGAAAACGAAGAGGGAGGGATAGTAGGATGAAGAGAGATAGAGAGAAGGGGGGCTAGGGAGGAAGAGAGAGGGAGAGAGGGAGAGAGATGAGAGAAACAGATACAAATATAAACGTTAAAAGGGAGTGAACTAGAGAGAAAAAGGGAGATGCTAATAAAAAGAAAATAACAATTTAAAGAGTCGAGTTAGAGATGAGATATTTTGAGACACATTGAAGAGTAGAGATATGAAGACGGATGATGACGGAAGAGGAGGTTGGAGGGGGGGGGGCAAAATAGAGATAGATACCGGGATAAATGAATGGTACGGCGGTGGGTGATGGAAGGAGCACGAGAAAAGGTAATAGGGTGATAAAAAGAGATAAGAAACATTTATGATTGGAGAGATCGCGAGACTGAGAGGAAATGGAAGTAAAGAATTGGGGAGATATACCGGGACATAAATAAACAGAAATATGGAGGAATGGGACATGACCAAGAGAAAGATCGTTCTGGTCAAACTCTCCAGCCATTATCAGTGGCGGATCCAGGGGGTGGGGGCCTGGATCCCCTTCCCTGGCAAAAAAAACAACAGGTAAAAACACCCTTTTTTGTTTAAAAAAAAAGAGGTTGGGTTCCCTCCCCTGGCGCTCAAAGGGGGGGGGGGGGGGGGGTGGATGTTGAGTTTTAAAAAAATAGCACTATCTTCCAAATTGAGCAAAAACAAAAAACAAAAACAAAATTAATGCTCACTACCCTCCCCCCATCCATTTTTTAATCTTACCTTTTGTTTTCTGTGTGTGGACAGGTCAGAATGTAAATATACAGACCAAGATTGGGCAGTAAAACTTGTTTTAAAGGCACTTTGGTGTCTTTTTTCAGGATAGTGTTATACCTCCTTCCTGATATACAATGACTATATAGTTTTATAATGTACAACTAGAGTTCTTCCGGCTTCTGACAAAATTTGGGGCTTAAGGGGGGAAATGTTACCCCAATTCTTAGGGGCCATCTGACACCCCATCCCGACGGAAATTGTAAGTTGTGTATGTTGTGTAATATCCAGTCATATACAGTGCGTCTCAGAACAAACGAAACCGAGAATTATCGATGTTTTATCATAAATTAATCGCAATTACAATTAATAAATGACACATTTTTGTAAAGCTTTATAGATCCTCCTCTTTCATTTGATGCATATTTCACGCATGAGTGATTAAAAACAATTTGAAGAGAGGAAACGAAAAGATCATTTGACGGGCGATATCTGAATATCAAAGAGAGAATAAAATTTCTAGGAAGTTCAATTTCTGCCCTTTCATACAACACCTCAATCAGAAAAAATGAGCCAGGACTAACAAAGTTCTGTTTTTTTTTAATTAATGCTTGCATTTCCATAATTTGATTAAACGAGTTCGTTTTCACTGGCTCCTTTCCGTTGCAACAAACAAAGTTGACAAAAGACTTAACTCCGTTTCGTTGACGATCAGCCATGCACATGCATCAAATCTTTCGTCTTCTTTGTTTACCTGGGAGGTATCATCACTCAATCAGGAAAATGTACAGAGGACATACAGAACAGGATTGGAAAAGCCCCATGGGTGCTGTTCAAAATCTTCACAGCATATTGACAGCCAAAGACATTAGAGGGGTTACAACGCTTGAACCATATGAGGTACTCATCCTTATGTATGGATCAGAAACGTGAACACTGAAAAGGGGAGATGGGAACAGGCTCCTTACCTCTGAAATGATCTGCCTTCAAAAAATTTGGGTGTAACCAGACAAGATGAAATACGAAATACAACAATTCGGGAGACTCTAGGACTGGATAAAAACATTCTGGACAGAATAGCACCACCAAGAACAAAAGTCTGCGATTCTTTGGCCACGTCACCAAGGGTGAGACCATTACGCTTCCCAAAGATACTCCTGACTTCTAATATTCATGGTGATAGACCCCGGGGCAGATTAGCCTAGAAATGGTTAGATTGTGTAAAGGCTGATTGTGCTACCAGATGTCTAGGATCCCTTACAGAAGCGACCAGAACATCAGGTCATGAGGCAGAAGCCATCACACACCCCTCAGATGATGTGGAAGGTTTAGGTCAAGGTAGGTCAATTGAATTGAATTTAATTGAACAGAATTGGTTTATTAGAAAACAACAACATGACATGCAGCTCGAGGCTGATTTTGTCTGTTTTTACAGAGTAATCAAATATTTATATCATAATAAAAACATCAAATTACAAAAGAAATTACAAAAACAACAATAATAACATCACAAAGCAATATTATAAAAGACTCTGAAAAAAAAATCATTAAAAACAGTCCTCTGTGCCCAGATTTCAATAATTTTTTTATCAATAACAAGCGCCAAATGGTTGGAACAATTTTTTTCCTAGGCAATCATATGCAAGAATTTCAGTAGCTTATTTCAGATATTCTACCTTGTCCCTCAAAATATAAATACGTGTTATGAACCAGGGTCCCAATGTAAGCCTGCTGTTATTCACATTCATATCATTTTATTCATGAAGTGCACCGGTGCCTATCAATTGTCATATTTTGTTCTCTTCTTCCTAGCTATACTTCTGTATTGTATGCATGTTGCTATGGCAATTACAAATATACAAACAGACGCCATCTTGATTGCATCTGACGCACACATTACGGTTAGGTGTTGATGGATTCTTCTTCGCACAACGTTTTAATTAAATCGAAGGAGTGTCTACGTGGTGTGTGAACGTACATTACAAAGGTTAGAATAGCAGTTTATACGTGAATATTGGGTTATATATATTGTGTGTTGCTTTGATGGAATATGAATAATGAGGGATTTTAAACTAGGAAGTAGGATAAGAATGTAAGAGGAGAAACGATTGTATATTGCTAGACTATGTAGTACAGGATATATTTTCAAGTAGGTGAGAGTTCGTGCAAGAGACAAACAGCAGAAAAAT